CTCTGAGTGGAGAGAAACAGTGATTTCGCATGCCGCCGGCAGGCGACCGCAAGTCTGAGGCAAATATGCTTACAGAATGGAATACACGGGCATGGAAAAGTTCTGTAGAGAATACTGTGCCTTTTTTAAAGTAATCGTTGGTGATTTCAACACTAAGACTGAATACAGGAACACCTCTGAGGAACACCATATCTAGATGCACGGATTAGAATAGAACGAACAGAGTGATCGACTTGTCATTAACACCAACACCATCCATGTTGGTAAACAAGAAGATTCAAAAAATCTTACTATAAACAGACGTGGGAATATTCTAAAGGAGAGCCGCTTAACGAGAACGACCACATCATAGAACTTATTTGCTCAGATATTTGGATCTTAGACTAGCTTAAGTTGAGGCTGTAGTCGAAATCATAATGTTGAGTTTTTATTTGTTGTCTGCTACAATTTTTCACGGCAGGGTATTATGTTAAATACAACCGCAATGATGTTGAGATATTTCAAAACTCCGGGCCGCATGTATTTACAGTGCGAAACTAGCGCACTGTTACCCTTTCCGAGGACTAATCCACTAATCCACTAATCCACCACCACAAAAAAAGCTATAGCCTTAGCTTAACTGGGTTCACTGCCGATTTGCGCTCCCCAGATCAATCATGTTGATGGGTGAGTGCTGATCGCACCGGCAGATAGAAAACTAGCCGAGAGACCAGAGAAAGGCAAAACGAAGGATCTGCATAGTGCGCTGGTACGTTGTTTAACACAATCGGTGGTGATTTCAACGCAAAGACTGAATCCAGGAGGATTCTGACGAACATCAAATCTATACACACAGATTAGAATAAAACGAACATTGTCTGAGCTCGTCATGAAAACCTACACCATCTATGTTGGCAAACATAGATGGGTTAACTGGAGTAAATAAATTTGTTTCCTATTGGAACAAATGCGAAAATCCTAATAGTGCTTAGCTCGATTAATAAAAATCAGTATGAAAAGAGTTATGATTCTTTAAAGTTCACATATAAAATCGGACATTTAGTACGTAACAACCTAACAGTACGATGTTCATTAAACACAATAGCCGACAATTTCGGTGATTTTGCCCTCTTCAGAGCTTGGAAAGGAAAAATAGACAATCTCAACTCTTTGATTTACTGCCTATTACTATTTTTCACGGCAGGGTAGTGTATGTGGTACAACCACAATGATTCTGAGATATTTGCAAAATTCCGGACAGCAGGTATCTGCGGTGAAGAACGAACACGCAATTACCCTTTCTGGGGCTAATGCGTTCACCACCACACCATGCGGGTCGTTTCGCCTGTTTCTCAGCTAATTTTCTATCGAACACTGTCATCAACAATCACCCGTCAATGGTAATCTTGGTTGTATTTCACATGATACCCTGCCGTGAAAAATTTTGCAGGCAGTAAATAAAAAAGATTGTGATTTCAACTTCAGCCTCAACTTAACTGAACCCATTGCTGAATTGGACTCCCCAGATCTATCCCGCTGATGGATGATTGCTGATGGCAGTTACCGATAGAAAACTTGGTGAGAGACAGGTGAAACGAAGGACCCGCATGGTGTGGTGGTGAATGCGTTAAACCCCGGAAAGGGTTATAGCGCGTTCGTTCCCCACCGAGGACACCTGCGGTCCCGAGTTCTGCAGATATCTCAACATCATCTTGGTTGTATTTCACATGATACACTGCCTTGAAAAATTATTGTAGGCAGTAAATAAAAAGGTTAAGATTGTGTTCTGCTTGACTTGTAAGTTTCCCAATTTGGTGATGTTTTACACGGACGCGGAGCGGTCTAACCCCTTCGCTAACGAAATCGTACCTCCATACTTACAAAAAATCAACTATACCTTACTTGAACTAATGCAGTTATCGCCTCTTCCGTTAGTCCAAATTAAGCAGTTGCACGTCACGAATAGATGGTCACATGAACGGTTACGTACAAGCTGTTGTCTTAGAGTGTTCAGTGATTTTTCAACCACTGATACAGATTTGTCTTCAAGCAGCGTTTTTAAGGTAAAGGCGTTGAACTAAAAGTCATTATTCTCACACAGGAATATAAAACACCAGCGTAGAAAACTCTTACAGTGCTTTGGATAAATTCCAAAAATGAACTGAAAGGTGGAGGGTCTTGTGATTACGCGTGACCCCACGCCATTACTCTGGCTAATTGTCTGGCTTGATTCAGACACATTCTTGACCCATGTAAGACTGTGTGGTTCGTCTCTAACAAATAACTCGAAGACTTACAACGATCAAAACGGTGAGTGAAAAAAGGAGACGCCACATCGAGAGCACGTAACCTCTGTGGACGATCGGCTCAGCTCATTGGCTCTGGGGAAAACGAAGACGTCGAAACGCTTCTAAAACAAGCTGTTTACTATGCGAATTAAATTTACGAATTCAGTCCTTTCTGCTTGCGTTATGAAGTGTTTGACCGAATAAATTGCTTGTCGATTTGACCTTTCCAGGGTCTGAGGAAGGCTACACCGCAGAATTACCAGCTCTTGTGAACGAATACATTAACAATGTAATAACAATCTTGTATTTGTTACCAAGAAACCAGTGGACTACTGATCAATGTCGCGGTTACAAGAAAGACGATCTTGGTGTTCACCGCCTCTTCCTGCTTTCTACCGTCTGTAAGCTCTTCTCTTCAAGTCCTCATTGGACTCAACATCCACAGGACTTCTAGAGCACTGGAAGCAAAACAAATATGTGAGCGTAGTGAAAGGATTCCGAAAGAGAACCACTACAACCACATGCACGAAATAATGAGACTCATGGAAGTATCACTAGAGCAGAAGAGACCGCTCTGTCTTACTTTTATCGACTGAAAAAACGGTGTTTAACTCAAGTGTGACCAAACCGATAATGGAAGCTGCGAGATGCAAGTGTCCCTACTCAATATATAAAGATCTCTCGCTGGTGATGCAGACACTGGCATAATCTCCATTCTTCGCAGATTTGCTGGTTAAGCTATTGTGGTTCCCTGGGATCCCGAGGTCAGCCTAGTAAGGTCCGTTCCAGGTCTTCACCACCATAGGTAGTCGCAGCCCTTGTGGGTTAGAGGGAGATTTACCACTACCTGACTTTGATACCAGAACGGTGGTGAATCCTGGTATTGGTATTGGTTTACTCTTAGCTGGACTTCCTGATGGAAAAGCCGGACTCAGCTTAGGAGACCTTGCCAGGGGATGAATCACCCGTTGTACATCGCAATCTAACACCCAGCCACGATGAGGAGCCGTGCAACACTCACCTGGAATCGATCCCCTCGCTCATGGCCCACCAAGCCCTCCATCCCTCCGGAGTCGGCAAATTGGTACCAGACTTGTCTGGGAGGATGGCAGCACTGGCTCGATACATCGGTAGGCTATCGCGAGTGTTAAGGCCCAATATGCATTCGATCACCTCTAAACGATGCTTAATGAAGTCAAATGCATGCGCATCCCTTAGGGATTGATCAACGCCGAGAGCTTTTATCTTTTTATACATATACATATACGTATATACGACCATACTATACATATACATATACGACCAATTTTTAACGGCATTAATTTCGACGTAAAAAGAGGATATCGGACAAATGGTACTATCTTATCGAACTGAGCGAAAACTTGAATGGGATAACAAGCGATCGAATTTCAATGATCGGATATTACACCACCTTAGAATTGCTTATCATACCCCTGTTGTAGTGTCAAGAACTAGTCAGACGTAACAAATGCTGGAATAGCCACTTTACTTCGTTACTCTTTCGTACGACAGTGAGAAATGTAGCATTTACCGGCGCGCGCCCAAGTTAGTGAAGTGCATGGTGAAATGGACGACAGGTGATGCAATTGATAGAGCTGATCCGTAAGCGATTGACTAACGTCAAACGTTCAAAAGTTTGACCTCTTTCTTATCCTTATTCAACTACATATATCAACGCATACGCGAATTTCTTGCGAACCGTTTCCATACATCTCTGAGTGAACACGGATGATGTAGAATGCTTCGAAATGAAAGCAGCAATACCGCATTTGGATCTCTAAGAAGAGTTGCCGCTGGTCTAACAGATTTAAGATTCGCGTTAATCTAACCAACTAAAACTCTCCCACTGCCAATGTGACTCGTTCACTTGTGACTCCCTTTCATAAAATGCCTACGAAAGGATACGAATAGAAATCATTATAGACAGCAAAAAACAGAAAAATCCAATCGGAAGAACTGCGATAGGAGTTCCGTAGAAATGTAACGGTGCACATTTTAGCCAGTACAAAATCACACGCTGTATCGAAGATGAATTAGATCTACTATATCCATAACCGCCCTCTGAATACACCTAATACCTGGGATTAATGGTGATTTCACATAACTCTGTCATAGGTTCTTCACCGTAGTGTCATTTACAAGTGGATTTTTTTTCTATCCAGAATGATTGTCATAATTTGTGATACATAGCATCTGCAAAGACGAACACCACGTTTGCCCCAATTCTGATTTTTCCAATTTTAGCTTATTATTTACTGCCTACTCTTTTCAATGGTAGGGTATATTACGAGGCATAACTTAAACAATGCTGAGATATCTGCAAAACTCCAAGCCGCAGGTGCCTGCGGTGGGGAACGAACGCGCTATTGCCCTTTCCGAGGAGTATCGCGTTCACCACCACACCATGCTGGTCCTTCATTTCGTCTGTCTCTCAGCTAGTTCCAATTTTTTCGATTTTTTTCTGAATTTTTCGTTCAAATTCCAACCCTATTCAAAAAAAAAACAGCAATAAATGGAATGATAATAAGGAATGTGGTAAAGCGAAAATAAGCTTCAAAATTTCTTCAATCGTATATTTCAAACAATTCCTGCTTGTTCTCATATTAATCTACGACTTCGAAAAGACGAACAATAGCAAACAATGCAGTCAGTTATAATCAACCGTTTTATTATGTACTTCACTGCGAACCAAGTTTTACTTTCATATGCTCCTTAATTTAAAAATATTTCATACAATTTTGAAAGAATTAAATTATCAGGCTGTAGTTGCAGCCAATGAATTTCATCATCTTGTGCAATCCAATTTATCTCTTCTGCCAACGAATAAAATCCACAAATCGAGTCCAGTGTTGTGGCAAATATTTTATAACCTGAAATGAACACCTTAAATAATTGATCTATGATGCCGTCCTATAAAAACTCAATGTTTTAGAAATTTATCGATGAGTTCACCAGGGCTCATTAACATCAATGCTTGGTCTGTAACATGTTGCAATCGAGAAGATGATACGTGAATTACAGCGCAGATTTAATTCCTCCGTAAAATAATGCAGGCGAAACTTATAACAAGAGTATGGAACAGGACGCACTGCTAGCCTTATTCGTTTAACGCCTACTGGTTCTTTCTCAGCCACTAGATAGGCCAATTTCATAAAAATCACAAAACCTAAACTAACAAGTACTTGTAACTATGACTTGAGCATGCCAAAGCTGAACTACCTCAGGCCCATAATTTCTACAAATCATATGGTATAGCAATCAATTGAAAACAATGCGATCTTTGATTAAGCAAAATTTCAAGGATTTTGGATATGGAACTAATTCAGACACGCCAAAAAGGTTATATGCAATTTATACTAATATGAAGATTACTGAACATACTGAATTCAAGGCTTTCTTGAAAAAGATAAAAAACAATAAAGCTCTCGGTGTTGATCAACCTCTGAAGGATACGCCATGCATTCGACCTCATTAGGCATCGTTTGGAAGTGACTGAATGCATATCTGGCCTTTACAATGACTCGCGATAGCCTGCCGATGTATTGAGCCAGTGCTGCTATCCTCACAGACAAATCTGGTACCAATTTGCCGATCCGGGAGGGATAGAAGGCTTGGCTAGGCCAAAGAGCGGGTATCGATCCCATGTGTGTTGCAGGGCGCCTCCGACCACTGCGCCACACGCGTACAATAACCATACCAAATATCGTGTCATCATACAACTAGATTGAGAAAACAGCTGCGAACTGTACTAATGCTTGAACAATAGCCCACCACAGGCAGAAAATTCCAACACAAATCAGGAGAGGTGTGGATCACGTCGAACACCTCCATGAAGCTTAAAGGGTAAACTGCGACTGTAAAGTATCGCAGACGTAAATGGATGTATGCTGGATTCAAATAATGACCTGCGGCGACCTACCGATAGATCAAGCCAGAGTTCTTTATCTCCTATAACAGACAATAGGTATACAGCAAATAACGCAAGATCACCACGAAAACTAGTATCGTCACTGCACCACTTTTCTGAGCAACGCATCTCTTCACAATATTTGCTGGCTAGAAGAGTACTTTTTGGGCAAGCAGAAACAACAGCATTAACAGCTGGACCATACGACTCAATACAAAGCACGGATTTTGACAAGAGTAAAATACTACCATAATTTTACATTGCACTAAGCCACTAGAACAGTCAGGCCGTGATGTTATAACAGCTTAAGTGAGCAATTTGTGTGAATTTACTAAAGTCACAGAGTGAAAGGGATAAAAAATGGGAAGAGAAAGAATACCGAATTTCTCAATATCGACAAATATAACTAGAACATGCGGCCATATTCCTGTTCAGTCTTATAACTCGCCGGTGCAATTAGTAATCGTGGCCTTCAAAACACGACGAATGATGTGAAACCGAATACAGAATGCGTGGGAAAAAATGAGATGGAAAAAATGTGTTGTAAAGGGTGGGACTACTTTATAGACCTAGCTTTCTTCAATCACTCAAAACTTTCTAAACGTAATCTAGCTCGCCTTCTACATAACCAGATTGGTAGGTCTTCCAAGGTCAAGGCCTATAAGACCTCAGATAAAAATTTTAGTTTGAAACTTGGTGACACTCTAAAACAAAAAGACAAGGTTGAAATTACAAGAAAATCGGCAGCTAGAAAAGCAGATCTACCGGAAAAAGCTACTAGTAATAAAGCGCAAAATGTTCTTCGACAGCTCGAATTAGTTGTACCCAAAGCCCACACGCATTTCATTTTGAATACTCATGTCCATTAGGACTTGAAGTTGTTTTGGTGTCATCACCTGTGTTACCCGTCGTCCCGTCCATTGTCAAGTGACTCGTGCTGAAACCACTAAATCATCCATTTTTCCCTGTCCCGTGCAGGGGTAGCCCAGTGGGTTCCGCTCGCTCTAGGGGCTCGTCGAGCATCATGTCTTTCTTCTAGACTTTTCGTGAAAAACTCTGACCATCGGGTCGGTGGTCTTCCTGCAATACGGTTGATATCCCGAAGAATCCAGTCACTAACTTCTCTTGTCCACTGGTTGTCGTTCACATGCATTACATTTCTGGCTCACCTCATCTTCTACTATTTGGCGTACAGAACGGCATCTTTGATTTTTGATCGTTGACGCAGGTCGGAGCTTCGGATTCCATGCTTTACTTGTGTGGAACGCTATACTCTTAGCATCGTCCTTTTGACTGCGAGTTCGATAACACTGAGCGATCTTTCATCCTGCTTAAGCAGCGACCAGGTTTCTGACGCATGCGTTTGGGCAGTAAGTAACATGGGTCGAATAGGTGGGGACGGAATCGGGCGTTCCTTGCTCACTTCACTACATCCTCGATTCTCTTGAAAGGTCCCCAAGCCACTCGTTCCCTTCTGCTGTTCACCATAATCATTTCCCGACCTAGAAAGAAGTAACTGGAGTACTCGGAGATATTCATTCCATTGAGTGTCATGGGGCGTGAGTAGCCAGTTCTTTTTTTGGACATCGCTTTTGTGAGATTTAATGGCAGATCAATCTCTCTACAGTCATTGTTAAAGTCGGTAGGAATTCGTTCCGTGTGGATGATGTCTGGTATTATAAAAACGATGACATCAGCAAAGTGAAAAAGGAGTGATTGCCGAGCATCGATTTTTACTGCCATGTTTTCTTATTCCAGTGTTCGCATGACGTTCTCGAGGATAGCGGTAAATAACTTTGGCGAGATGATACCTTCTTGCCTAAATCATCGCTTAACACCGATGATGACAACGTGCTAGAATTGTGGAATCTTGACTGTGAAATTTTACAGCCCACGAAGAATCTCTATACACTGAGTACGGAATCCCTGACCACTCAGAGCTTCGATGATAGTTTCTATTTCAACTGAATGAAAAGCTTTCTTTAAATCGATAAATGTGTGATAGAGACGTCTCTTGTACTTTCGCGATACATCAATGAGTCTTACTAGCGCGTGGATGTGGTCCGTTGTAGTGAACCGTTCTCGAAACCCTGGTTGCTCACATGACAGCTTTTCGTCCAGTGTTCTGTCAGTCCTGTTTAGGATGAGTCGAGTGAAAAGTTTGTAGACGGCAAACAGCAAACAGACTGGGCGATAGTTGCCGATATCGTGTAGGTCATCTTTTAAACAATAACACGGTCTTGCTGGTCTTCCACTAAGTAGGCACCTTGCAATCAGACAGGTAACGTGTGAACAGCCGAGCTAATATGTTTACGAGGGCTTGCGGAAGGTTCTTCAGGTGTTCAGATCTTATCATGTTTGGACCTGGTGCCGCTCGATTCTTCACCGACGAAATAGTAAGTCGGATTTTGGAAGGGAGAACAGGTGGTACGACTTATCCATCCTCCTTTGATTCATACTGGCGATGGAGAACGTGGTTACCGAAGAGATCTGAGTAGTATTCGTTAACAATTTTCAGGATTGCCTTTCCAGACGCTGTAACTGTTCCGCCTAGGCATCGGAGTGCAACCATCTTAGTTTTCTAAACGGCGAAGCTTTGATGGGTTTCGCGAATGCACTTCGAAGCCTCTGCAGCTCCGACCATTACTGCTGCTCTTCTCTCTTTAAGATCTTCTTTTATCGCCTGTCTGGATTGTTTTGCAAGTTCGGACGTTAGTTCGCGGTTGCTTGCAGTTCGAGCGATTCTGGACTGGCGTATCAGCCCGAGTATCTTTGCAGGCAGATGTCTTTTGGTGACTTTTGAACTATCAGCTTTCATAGCGATAACCTGAAGATGTTCAATGAGGTGTTTGTATTCCTCGTCGATGTTATCGAGAACGGCACAGTCCCAAAAGCCAACTAATGAACTGAATAAATCCAAATTAATGGTGGCTTTGGGAATTCGTTTTTTTTAATTTAGCGGCTTTTTCTCCTTGCGCGAGAATTAGTATCTTGCACGAAGTAGGCGATGGTCCGATCCCGTGCAGAATTTTGGGGTAATAGTGACATCGGTCAGGAAAACTCTTCGATTTACTACGATGTGGTCTATCTCGCTGTGGTAATCCCCACTAAGAGACTTCCAGGTTCATCGTTGAGAGTGGGGTTTATAAAATTTCAGGTTACCATGGATGGACATGGTCATCATGGCAAACTCAGAGAGCCAGTTACCCTGCTCGTTTCAATCCAATCCGTGGAACCCAATGTGATGTTTTTCAGACGTTGTTCTTTGTCCAATCTTAGCGTTGAAATCTCCGATGATGCCTTTGAAGAATGTGTGATGTTCTCTGTAGAACTTCTCCAAGTCCATATAGAACACTTCGACATCTTCGCCGTAGTTTAATGTCGGCACGTAAACGACGAAGACTGTCAAAGCCGGTATTAATCCACCTCTTTCCAATCGTAAACGGCCGATTCGGGTTGTAAGTTGTTCGAATGAATCGATGTTCATGGACAAACTCGTATTGACGAGAACCCCGACGCCACCGACTCCTCAGTGTCGCATATTCCGAGGAACAGTTCTTCTCCGGTGTCATAGATAGAGTTAAATGGATGGCGTCGTCTCGTCTCGGCCAGGGCGAACACGTCGTACTTTATCCTTCTTGTCTGCATGAGCAAGTCTTCTATCGAGGACTCGGATGCAAGTGTACGTGCATTGTAGGTACAGATCGTTGCCATAGTTCTTTCAAATCCAGGCAGCTTCCGTTGGCCCTGAGATTTTAGCAGCCTCTCCGTACTCGTCCTACCAAACACTACGAAATTGGGGGCTCTTTCGGGGTCAGAGGAATGAGGCCCGTTTGTTTTACTGTCTTTAGCATTTTTGATGCCCGCGTATGGCTTACTGGGCTCTGAACGTGAAGGCTGGATATACTCATGAGTAGCTCCCAAACTAGACATGGAAGTTATTTGTTGGAGGCGACTCCTAACCTCCTCCCCATATAATTCTCTGCCATTTGATTGCAAGCTTTTGGCCGAATTGATTCTTAGGATACTTGAGAATATTCTACCAGTCAATTTTCGCGTCAAAGGTCAGATAATTCTACACGTGACGAATGGTATAGTGAAACAAGGGAAAAATCTGTTCTGCCACGAACAATTAGGTGATAAAGTCAGCGATAGTTTAAATAAAAAGAACAAGACAAACAAATATCACTAATTTTATACCATCATTCGCCATATATATATATATATATATATGGCGAATGATGGTATAAAATTAAAAATTAAAAAGAAGCTCACCACATCAAACAAGTCCTTATTGTTAATAATATCGGCTAAAACTTGATGCTCTGATAGGACATCAGTTTGCGTAGAGACGTCGTTAGTGGCTGATGTTGAAGAAGATCTGAAATATTGTGCTGAATATGAAGAATAAACTACTTAACATGCAAAACCTGTAAAACACATTAAGGTATCCCATCAATGGTTGCCTAATATTTAAACTGGCAAACAAAGTTCCCAAGGAATTAAGGTTATTAGCCGTCTTCAAAACACTAAATAATTAAATGGGAATTCTAACATTTTCACAGAATTCACACATCAACTGCATGACAACATAAGAACTAATGCAATTCTACGGTGTTTAAGACCAGTCAAGCTTTCCATCTCTCCCAGGTAATATCTTTGTACGAAATACAATTCTTAAGTTCTTTTGCAAATAGCAGAAGAAAAGTGTCAAGAAAATGAAACTATAGTGAAACGCTTACAATAAATATGTGTTCAACACTATTTAACTTATTAATTTATTAGTTAAAACTCCTCACCTTGAAATTGATAACGGAAATGGATCAAATTCCGGTAATGGTAAGGGTGTTAGCCTTGGTGCCCATTTCAAAAAATCGGTGTCAGTCCAAGGCAAAAATGTTTTCTTATAGGAATCGAGATCGAACGCATCCATCATATGCTGATCCGAATATGCCTCTGAGCTTTCCGACGAGAACACATGAGGCATAGGGGATGCTTGCACAGTCCCATTAGCGACCGGCGACAATAGTAACGATGAACTGTTCGCAACATGTGTGGCAATTGGCGAGAAAACCGAATCTTGCTCAGTAACTGCTTGTTTAGGTATCAAAGTTGACGTCTTCGTACTATTGACAGGCGCAGCCGCTGGTGGTAGAACCGGAGGAGGTAACTAAAATGCAGATAGAATCTGGGACAAATAAATACAATAGCAGAAATTTGTAGAGATACACAATTGCACTAATTATGTGAACAGCGGTGTGCTCTTTCAATATCACGAAAGGAGAGGACGAATAATCTGGCATCTACAAGATGCAAGAGAAGAAATGTAAAGAAAGTACAGATGATCCACTTAAAGATATCAAAAACCGGCTTAAGGAAATATAAAGCTTGTACACAGAGAGTACTCTACTACTGATATATGTACAGGAATGGGTGAAAAAAAACAGCCTTTCAAACAAAATCGATTCGGCCTACACCAAAAGTATGGAACATTTCAAAGATACCACGATGTCAACTTTTTTATTTATTGCCTACTACAACTTTTCATGGGAAGACCTTATGTGAAATACAACTACAACGATGCTGAGATATTTGCAAAACTCCGGACCGCAGGTGTCTGCAGTGGGGAACGAACGTTTTATTACCCTTTCCGGGGACCAACATGTCCACCGCCACACTATGCGGGCCCTTCGTTTCGCCATACTCTCAGCTAGTTCTATCCACCAGTGCTATCAGCAATCACTTGTCAACGGGGTCTATCTAGAGAGCACAAATCGGCGTTGAACCCAGTTAAGGTGAGCCGATTTCATAGATAATACAAGACCGCATAGACTTTAAAAAATACTCACTTTATACGGATGCTCGGGTAGCGAAAGCTGTCCTGAATGGCTATGCAATGGATGATGCCACATCGGATATCCATCTGTGTCTAACGGTGTCACCAACACGGCACGCCATGGATGCTTACCATTACGCAGTTGAAAAAATACCGTAGCCCTGTATACGACGAGTGGATGTAATAACCCAACAATTATCGTGTTATAAATAAAAACCACAAAATAATACTGAGTTTCACAACAGATAAAAACGATTGTGAAGTCGAAGGCCTAAAGTATGCTGATATCGCAACTACCTAGTCGTACTTTTTTCTTAAAATATTAAAGAAATATCGAAGCTATCACCTGCATTTGGTCTCTGGACGAGGAGGCGTATCACCTTCAGTTAAATCTGTCCAAGCAATAAATGCAGAACCATATTTCGGATTATTCATAAACCCAAAAAATTTCTGTTCATTCGTATTAATATTGGAAACCTGCAAATTTAAATTGCAACCAAATTTGTAGAAAAATTGTGATGCGCTGCAGATTTAGGAACATAGGAAGTGCAACATCGAAACATCAGTGATGTCAAAAACATAAAAACATTATATTCGTAGAAACTGAATCAAATTTTTACCGTCCAATTATCATCCGTTTGCAATAACGAAGCATTTCGAACGCGTATATGTGCATCATCACCAAGAACCTTCAAGCAGAACCATATTTATAGGTTTCAAGAATAAATCATATGATTTTGAAAAATTACTATACATTTTTGTACTAGGAGAAACACCAGCACTAATTTATCTTCCCCTGCCATCTTGATAAGAAAAACGAAATTCAAAGTAATACACTATATCATATCCATCTTTAACAGTTCGTCTCTGCCAACACACCATGGTTTCACATTGTTTAACTACCTTTACAAGCATTCGCGATTGAACAGATCGGATTCAATACATACGGTGAGACAATAATGGGCTCTCTGATCCCCCAGCCATCATATCTCAGCTCATAATGTGCTTTATTAAGTAGAATAAGAAAGAAAAAAATCCACAAATTTCAGCCAAGTTGGTACAAGCTCTATAAAAAGGATAAAGCTCTCGGCATTGATCAATCCCTGAAAGATGCGTCGTGTATTAGACTTCAACAAGTATCGTTGGACATGATTGAATGCATACCTGGCCTTCACAATGACTCGCAGTGGCATACTGATGTATCGAGCTGCTATCCTCCCAAACAGGTCTGGTACCAATTTGCCGACACCGGAGGGATGGAAGACTTGGTGAGCCTGGCGCGCGGGGATCGATCCCATGTGTATTGCTGGGCGCCTCCGAGCACTGCGCTACAGGCACCCTACTACAAGTTCTATACCGGGATGAAATTATTATTCTTATTATAACTAAGATGAAATTTTAATCTTCTGGAGAGCATCAAATACATTCTTCCGCTTTTTTTTTTCGTTGAGACTAGTATTTCTAATGCTAAAGTGGGCGAATCCTCAACCTGATGATGAAGGAACGCAAAAACAAAACATATTTCTCCTGCTCCCATACACCTTAACGGTCCGACAACTCTAACCTCACATAGCGTTGGCAAGTAGCGCAGTGGTTAGAGGTGCCCTACAATACATCCATGGTCATTGATTCGATGGCATCAAAAGTAAACGAAGCCCTCCATGCTTTTTAGGCCAGCAAGTTGGCAGTAGACCTGCCTAAGAGGATAAGATCACTGATAGGAAATATCGATAGCTCGAGCAAGTTAATGTATAGGTCAAATATGCATTCAGTCTCATGTGTGGAGCTTATGGAATGTGTGAATGGCTCATCCACTCTTTAACGCCGAGCACTCCATCACTTATCCTTTTATTTTCACAGACTACTCTTTGCTCTATAGCACCTTTATTAAATAGAGAATCCTTCATAAAGATGATGGTTGCCTTTAAAACACTTACATCAATATGTGTAGCACTCCATGGTACATCTTCAAACAAACCAGTCCATACTACGATTAATTTTACACAGACCATTGCACGTAATCCATGATTAAACTGCTGCGCAGGTACAAAAATACGGCCTGAATCATACGCAGTTACTGCAATATTTAGCAATTCATTCAGTATTATAAAACCTACCGATAACATCATTCCATAACCAAGCGCTGCGCGCATTCAGCGAAACTCGATTAACGACGGCGTGCAAACGCAACAACAGTTTTGATGAGTCCATCTCGTCGTCAATCACTTCATATAACTAAAAAAGTCACTTCAAGATTTTCTTTGCTTCACAACTAAACATTGTGAAGGACCACGTTGCGGTCCCTGAAATGTGAACCCAGAAAGTGTAACTACTGCTTCGCTTGCTATAGACTATGTGCTTTCATCTTAATGTGCGCGCCTAGCTAAAACCTACAGTATTCCAAATTATCTATAACATCTCCACTCTTATCGTAGAAATTCAAAAGCTGCGGAACAGCATCCCTAGGCAGAATCAGAAGTAATAAACAGCTTGAATGAACCGAATCTTATGAAGTTCCTGAAATGGTAGTATTCGGGAAGTAGAAAAAATTAAATCCCAACTTTAATTGGGCACGCTTTAATCACAGTACACTTAAGATGGTTAAAGAAGAACACTAAATGCCAGTATCCAAACGTCAAAACAGTTTTATAATTTCGTGATATAGTGAAATACCAGGCAAAACACCACTGAACTGACTAAGAAGCGAAGTTGCTATTATCTATTTACTACTAAGAAACAAACTACTCTTTGAACCTTTTAGTAGCAAAAGAAATGATAGAATCGAATGGCTAAAGTTGGTGTTCCCTCGGCTATGACTATGAAAAATCGGTAAACTAAGCCTTTTACAACCCTCACAGAACCCCTAGGTCGGAAATGCATAAACCACTGGTGGCATTAACCGTTTCCATCACTTAGACAATGAGGTGAAAAATTAAGAGCAAAATGAAGCTTTCCTATTAGTCGTAAAACCAACACGAACATTAGAGGTTATTTTAAGATTCTACTTTTAAAATGATAGAATCTAGGAGCTACCTGAGTAACACGTAACTAGCAATTAACAATAGAGATCTTGGTTTTGCCTAGCAACAGTAAAAAATGACTTTGAAGATGCTGCAGGAGCGACAGAACTAGCTGAGGACATGCCAATTTTAAGAAACCCTGCTCAACTCGCTTATTAAAAGGCAGGAGTATCAGTGTGCTCGAAGAGATAACGCTAAATTCCCTGAAAATCGTTCACAATATTACTTCGACCACCATATTTAGATTGTTGGCAATTTTACATCCTACCATTTTGCAGCAGTTAGGAGAATTTTGATCTCGACACCTAAACTGATCAACATTAGTTATTAAGGAAATGCTTGTGTGGTCGCGAATCTACATGCTCTTTCTGCCAGAATTCACAATACCCATTGAAAGGAAGAATAGCAATCACCCAACCGTTCATGAAAACTTTTACAACATGGACCTATATGCTTGCTGCTTGCAACCTATAAACTGGGTATTTCTATTATACACAACAGCAGACTTCTTAAGAACGGTCGGCCTTACGTGTAAACTGTTGCAATGAAAACTACACTTTTCACTGCACATACACGTTTATGAAAACCTCTTTATGAAAGCACTGAACTCGGCATGGTTACTATCAAAAATCTGCAGAGCTTTGATCGCATATAGAAAAACAACGCTTTGGAAAGGTCAAGGGTTCCAAAAAAAATCGCACTTAACCTCGGACATCAATCGGACTAGAAAAACCAGAAAAGTTGTAGAGCAACACAACAGGAGTGTTATATAAAAACAACCATTCGATGAGAGTAATCAGGGAATACGGATGCATTAAACATGAGAGATAACGTTAGGTTTAGTAGCTCTAAGGAAAAAGCAACAAAACAGATAATGAAACCACGTATAAGGTACACATGGAAATTTGCACGAGTCCAATTCTTTGAGGAATAATAGGATTAGTGACGCAGGTATTCACAGGTAGTTGACTTCTCTCAACGTAAAAATTAGTGGATAGTGCTAGTCTCAATATAGAGCAGCATGGGCTACTTTCGAGTAACGGACTTGACACTCCACGGTCGGCTTTCCAACCTAACGGTCGTACCAGCGCTCTGCTATGCAGCAAGAAGTGCACTGGTACGTCAACCACGTTAAAAACTCCAAACACCATCCACAGAACACTTCAACGATATCTTCTAAAGTATAGCCGGCATAAATGGCTAGTCGATGCAGACCAGATTTTCGAAACCTATCCCAACCTTGAGATACAGGTAATTTACACATCGATAGCGAACCTTAGATGGGTCGGTCATATAACAAGAAGAATAAACAATTCATGAACGAAAACAACTGAAGCTTGGACTCCAAGAGAATAAAACGTTCTTTGCGACGATGGGCAAACGTGTTTGTAGTTAACATTAATCAGTTGTACTCACAAATGACACTTGACCATATCACTACACTCGAAGAAAACCACCAAGCACAACGATCGCGAAGGTAAAAAGAAATGGATGGAAAATTTATCAAGGCTATCGTGATTATCGGCCGTCCAAATATCCAAAGAAGTAAGCTCAGAACAACGATACCACTTTCATAGCACACATTACAAACAGGTTAAGCTCCAACAATTATGAAATCTCCGCACTTCTAAGTGTGAGATCAAAAATTTTAGTACAATCTCCATTTGACGAACATCGTTCATATGACTGCGGTAACGAGTAACATTGTGAGAACAGCACTTCATTTTTTCCTTCTCTTCATTAGACAGTATAAGACCACTTACCAATCCAAGATTTTCAACAGAACGCACAATCCATACAGCTCGAGATTCCGCATCAACTTTTTTAATAAGATCATAACGAATACATGTTCCCAGACTCATCCATGGTTTTCGTAATGAAGAAGGTAAGCGTGCCGTACCAGATTGCTGTAAAGGTTACGTATAAATCAGGAAAATATTAGTGAAAAATGACAGAAAATTCCACATATTACATTCCAACAACAGAATTGGAAATATGAGAAGAATTGAACGTAGTTCTTATTAACAACATCGATTCACTGAAGAACATAGCGACAACACAAAAAATGAGGAATACAATGAGAAAAACCCTTACTGAATGTACCAACTCACTGAAGAATATACAGCTAAATCACCATCTTCGGGACAAATAACAATGACGCCAATCTAGAAAGAACACTATGGGGTTATAAAAAGTAATACGAAAACTTTCCCTTGAAAACAAATCACATCAGAAATAACAAAAACTCAATTACTGGCTTCCATGCATGACCATCTAGACAGAAATTACTCACTTGACCATTAGCAACATCGGGAACCTTTTCAGAGCCTTTCTTCTCATCTACCAGATTCATATTAATACTCCACGCAACATATCGGCAATTATTAATATCTGGTTGACGAAAAATCTGAAACCAAAAGAATACTTTGGATGAAGGGAAAACATATTATTAATAACACCAAAGAATTTGTAAAACAATTCTTGACGTACATTTACCGGAAACTACGAGAAAACTTAGAAATGGAACGACATTGATGCTCAGATACTTGCGAACTACTGACCGCAGTTGTTTGCGGAGGGAATCGAACCCGCCGTTACCCTTTCCGAGAGATAACGCGTTCACAGCCACATCATGCGGGTTTTTCGTTTGCCTATCTCTCAACCAGTTTTCTATCTGCCAGTGCCATCAACAAACACCCGTAGAATAAGAAATGTTTGCTAAGAAATTACCCAACTTCAGCTGATACAGATTTCTTCGACACTTAGGACATTAGATGAGTTCCATTTAACGATTTTTTCAAACTAATTAAATATTTTATATTGTAAGGACTCCAATTCTTGCATTGAACTCGATTCCTCGCACCTCCCATCCGCAACGCTGTTTGGCTACTGCTCGAAGTTCTCACCTTCATGGTTACCGCTGAATGCTAGTCCAGTCAATTTCCCCTCGACCCTTGGATAACAATGCTAAGGTGTTCCGTTACGTAAATTGTATGATGTGATCTGCTTTCAGACAAGTATGGTACCAATTTTCCCACTTGAAATGACGGAAAACTTTCTCAAATAGGGGCACGATTGAAACAGTTCCCTGCACATAGCAAACGGTTTCACTACATTAGAGCTACCAGCCCACCACTTAGTTAATGGTTATTTGTTCGGAATCGTTACGATTCCGATCACCGTCTTCGCGCGAAGATTCGATTCAGCCGCAAGCTGGAAAAGAACATTCATCATCGACCACGAGGAAAAAGTCTAGCTGTATACGACGAGAACATTCTAAACGAAATCCTGTTCAAACGTGACTGGTAGATTAAAGAAGACCCGACCGAAGACTACGAGCTGTTTGTCGGAGGGCTGAAAAGCTGTGCCGAATTCACCTCAGTTCCTCAAGCACGAAGATCGGATCGCACCTCCATCACTACTAAAGAGTTGCTCGAAAAGAGAAGGGAACTGAAGCTTGATCCTACTGCGATACGTTTAACGTGGATAGTAATAAATGCCAGCTGCAGAAGAGGTTTGCAGGAAAATCTACAACGGTACAAGCAGAAGAAAATACTGGCAGCAGCAGAGAAAAGAAGCACTCTGAAAAAAATGCCGTTGGGACTTGTGAGGTTATGACGTTCTGCTGTCAGCTCTGATGAACGAAGACATGATCACAATCTTAACTCTTTTATTTACTGCCTTTTTCTTTTTAATGGCAGGGTATGTTTCGAATTATAACTCGTACGAAATGCTGAGATATTTGCATATACCCGGGTCCCGGATGGTGTAGTGGTGAAGTGCGCTGCTCCCCGGTAAGGATAACAGCGCTTGTTCGTTCCTCACTGCATACACCTGTGGTCCGGAGTTTTGCAAATATCTCAGCATTTCGTACGAGTTATAATTCGAAGACATGATAGCCAAAACTTCCCGCCATGATATGGAATTAATATCGGAAACGTTCTACACCAACCTCTTCCGTTCCACAATCCCGTCCCGAGCCCTAATATCACCGTTGGAGAAAAACCACCTGGAATTCTTCCGTCGGAGGTTCGAGTTGCGATAGAAAGCATGAAAAGAGGCACAGCTCCAGGACCCGATAATACTACTGCCGATTTCCTTAGAGCTGGAGGAGGCCACAATTTACATGTACTTCTCGCAGATCATACGACAGGCTACCTTCAAAAGGAAAAAATCCCAGACCAGTGGAGGACATCGCGCACGGCCACCCTGCACAAGAAAGGAGACCGAAGGGATCTTCGTAACAATCGTCCCATATGCTCGTTAAGTGTACTCTACAAGATCTTCACGAAGATTATCCTCTCACGCATATCAAGGACATTGGATGAGGCGCAACTAGTCGAGCAATCAGGATTTCGAAAAGGGTTTTGCTGCATGGACCACATTCAGACCGTGGCCAGTGTCATCGAAGTTTGTCGGAAATACCAATTGCCTCTAGTCCTAGCCTTTGTCGACTATGAGAAAGCGTTTGATAGTGTCAAAACAAATGCAAATCTGTCAGCGCTCGTCGACAAAGGAATGGACCCGTCCTACATAAGGACTCTGTCTGACTGTTATCGCAACTGCACTGCAAAAATACAGCTTTTCCATCGACCTCTTACAATACCCATAGGAAAAGGGATTTGACAGGGCGACACAATATCGCCAAAGCTCTTCATTGCCGCATTGCAGTGGATAGTGAAGTCACTCGATTGGGATGAGAAAGGCATATGTATTGATGGAAAATTCCTATCAAACATTTTTGTCGACGACATTGCCATCTTCTCAAAAAGTACTAGCGAAGCAAAGGTGATGATCAGCAAGCTCAACGAAGCGGGTAAAAAGATCGGACTTCGCATAAATCGAAAGAAGACCCAGTTCATGAAAACCCATGGTGCCAAGGCGAAAACATTGAATTGGATGGCTCTCTCATTGCAGAGACCACCTCGTACGATTACTTTGGGCGGTAAATGAATATGGAAAACAACATGAAGAAGGAACTAGGTAGAAGAAGGAGAATAGCTTGGGCCGCATTCGGACCTCTCAAAGAAGCCACTGACCAACTAAAGGACCCGAAACCCGCGCTCATTTCTTTGATTCTACGGTCCTCCCAGCGCTCTGTTATGCTGCAGAGACATGGCTTGATACTTCGACTACGTCAAGAATGCTTCGAACTAATCACAGAGCGCTTGAGCGATGTCTTCTGAAATATAACCGGCATTCTCAATACGTAGCCGGAATGCGAAGCTCTGGCCTACGAAATCTGTCATGTCTTCGAGATCCAGGAGAGTATACAACGACAGCAAAACATAGATGGGCCACATAATGAGAAGAATGGACGACAGATGGATGGACGAAAAGAACAGCAGAGTGGACTCCAACAGAATGTAAAGGAGGACGTGTTCGTAAACAAAGTTAATCAACTGTATCCGCAGCTGCAGTTGTTTTACAAATCACAGTATGAGACTCGCAAGCGCTACCATGCTCGAACAAGAGCACCACAATGGCCTACGATTGCGAGAGAAAGGAACGACTGGCATATGTGCTGGGGTCCGCACAGTTCGTGAAGACGCACCGTCTAAGTATCCAAGTAAGTAAGTTGTTCGGAACAAAATTCAAGGTCCCCATCACACAAGTGGTGGTCATTGACCGGTAATTGACCCGAAAGCACTTGGCTTGAAAGCATTTTAGCTCCACCAAATAAGAAAAATATCAGTGAAACAAAAATCGGCGGCAGCACACAAAACGTATGAAAGCGAGCCATTTAGGTGAGTGACAAGGAAAAGTCCTGCTTTATAGTCACAATACCACAGAACGATGTCTCACAAGATTTTACAAACAACTTGATAAGAAACCCAACTTGCCTTCATCTGAATGGTCTTTCCAACTTCTGCACCTTTTCCCAACCATGGCTTATTAAAATCGTTTCTAGACGAATAAGGTACAAAAACTCGACCATATTTTTTTACATCGGCATAACAAAACCTAAGAACAATATGTATAATGTGTAAGAAAAAAAACCATAATCAATAAAACGGTATGCATCACTTACTTATCATAAGTATCAGATATTTTACCAGACACTGATATCAATTCACGTTTCTTAACAACTGATGATGCAACGAATCGACAATCGTTTTGAACTTGAGTTTGTCTCTGTGCAGTAAATATCACTTCTTCATCAGACTGCAATGACATATAGAAGTCTAGCTAGATAGTCTCATAATTTGTCTTCGTTCAAACACAATGACAAAGCGCGAAATGTGTAACGTTGCTTCAGCTTTTCCTAAGTACAAAATTATTAAGGGGGTAAAGGGTAAGCACACTTAAAATGTCAAGTTCTCAGAAAACCAACCGTAAATTTATCACGGAGATCGGTGCAGTCGCTCGTAATGCATGCAGCTGCTATCGGAAAATATACATTCCCCAAACGTTCGTCATTAATATAAGCATGTTTCTTAACCATCTAAAGTAAACATTTACAGTTTCATTAAGCATCGTTGGAGGTGACTGAATGCATATCCGGCCTTTAAAGTGACCCACCGTGTCCTAGAGAAGTATCGAGCCTGCGCTACCATCCTACCAGACAAGTCTGGTAACAATTTGCCGACCACTGAGGGATGGAACGCTTGCTGACCCTTGGTCGCGGTAATCAATCCTATGTGTATTGCAGAGGCGCTTTCAACCACTGTGCTATCCCCGGCCCCTTACCACCTCTATATAAAAGGTGCTTATCCACTTTTATGTTGACAACCAACAGTACCATACTTTTCGTCTATGACAAATAAGAAAAGTTTATGCAGTTCTTAAACTCTGACTACCACAACTGATATGAACGACATTCTCATTCGCTAGCCTGGCTTAAGGTTAACTTATGAACTGGTAAAATATTGCAAGCTATTCGTTATTATTTTCTCGCCAAAGACAGCAAGAATAGAGGTTACGTGATGCTCCTTGAGTATCTCAGCGAAGCTGCTAGTCTTGTTCCGGTGCGCGGTACACCGACTCAACAAGACTGTGATGGTTAATGTTCACAATGACTTACCCTACATATTCGTCCTTCGCCTAGAGAACGGTTTTGGCTCATCTCTTCCGTTATTTGTCAGAATTATTCTCACACTGACAAATCTGAACCTAAATCTAAATCTGATAATCTGATCATCTGTGGAGAACACCGATTAGAAATATGAAACGGAAACAAAAATATCCAAAGGAAAAAAGTCCACGAAACGATAACGGTACCACTAAGGAGATAGTGACTAGATCGGTTATGAGACCGCACCGTTCACAAGTTTCCGAAAACAGAATTCAACTTTCTTATTTAGAAAACTGAAAATTAACAATAGAACAACCAACGACTTTCCATAGAAACTAGAAGGATAAAACTACACAAGAAAGGTTATCGGAATAAACATAGCAAAGAAATGCTCATATCGCCAAAAGAACTACAAAACCAAAGCAATTGCAGATCGAAATGTCAGTTCTAGTGGAAACTCTCAATCAAAGAAAAACAGGTAGCCACAATGTGGATAACTGCCACTGATACAAACAAGACATATGGATATCATACATTCCGATACAGATAAATAGATAAGAACACTACTTACGGAATTTATTCCCAGTGAACAAAAATATTTTCGGTCGGACGCTATAAAACTACTATTGTACTCAGTTAACTAAGACGAAGACGAAAAAAGAAAGATCTTGTTCAAACAAAGTAACGATGCAACTAATTAGCAATGGATATGACAGAACAGGTTTTAGTGATCAGGAAGCAACCGTAAACCAGTGAAAAAAAGAATAATGTAGAGGAGTAGAGGATTATTTTTTAAAAAAATCTACGCAATCAGTTTTGTCGATTTCACAGTGCTCATACGAATTCCCCTAGACTCCCCAGTATACTTCTCTATTTCCTTTCGAATGGTTCCCACTTGTGAGTGGACTTTCTTCACAGCTTCTTTATATCGCCTACGATTTTTCGTCTGAAAACAACATGATTGCAGCATTGCCCAATTCCAAAATCACTTATATAAGCACCGTTCTAAACAGTCTTGTAGAGAATAAACCGATATGTAAGAGAAAGTAAAGAGCTCTTCTAACAAGAAGTAAAACCAGAAGGATAGAGAAAAAGTAACGATGGATGTGAAAAACACTTCAGAAGCACTTCCTTACCTTGGGTAAACAAGAGTGCATGCGCGAAAATATGAATGTTATCAAAGTGACTTCCATAAGTGTATGGAAGGTGGAAAACAGAGAGTGAAAGGGTGAGGTAACATGTTTTTCAAAGGAAAAAAAAATTGCACTGGAAAAATTAGAACGGCAATGAGATGTCTTCACATAGCTGTTCAAACGGCAGCTACTATTGAACGCTTAAGTTTAAGAACACCTAATTTCAGGAATAGATGTGGAATATCTTATTAAAAAGCAAGGCCATGAACTTTCCAGAAATCAACGAAAAGACATAAGGAAAATTGTTTCTCTCAAGTTTGATTGGGACGCTACGAAATAAAACTATACAAAAGTGCTCTGGCACTATATACTGCGAAATATTCTTGGATGGCCCATTTTCACTACTTTTGCGGGTCCCAGCATAATTTCCACTCATTTCTCACTCGCATAATCGTCGTCCACAGTGGGGTCTGCTTCGATCAAGCAGAAGTCCACGCAACCCCAAAATAGTTGCCACTTGCGAATGCAGGTGGTTAGTGTTAGCTGCGAAAACGTCCGCTTATTGCTTGGATGGTCTTCCAGAAAGATGCTTGCATTTTCTCGGAGTCCACTCCATTGTTTTTGTCGTCCGTTTGTCATCTGTTTTTCTTATTACACTAGTGTCCCATCTGTTTCGCTTTTAATGTATGTTCTCGTTGTTCCCAAAGATGGGATAGGTTTCGGTCTTACATACGCATTCCGGCTAGACGTTGTGAGTCTTGCTTAGATTTCAGAAGACATCGCCAAGCGCTTTGCGGTTGCTGTACAGATTTCTTGACGCAGTCGAAGTATCAGCGCGCGTTTCTGTTACATACCGCAGAGTTGTGAGGACTGCTAAATCGAAAAGGTGATCGGGAGCTTTGGAAACGTTAGTTGGTCGGTTGCTTCCCTGACTGGCCGTAATGCGACCCATGCTCTTCTCCTTCTTGTGTCTAATTTCTCTTTCAAGTTGTTCACCATGTTCACTGGATGTCCAAGGCACACGCATACACGTACGAGGTGGTCATTATAATCAGAAAGCCGCTTCGTTCGATTTGTTCAAATTCGCACCACGGCTTCCTCATGGACTGGTTTATCGTTCTAGTTACGCACAGTCCAATCTTTATTCCCACTTCGCTCAGTTCACTGAGCATCGTCTCTGATTCGCCAGTACATCTCGAAAGTGTATGTTGTCCCTGAAACGATGGTTTGATCCGAATTTTCCATCAATACGTATGCCCTTCTCGTCCCAATCACGCGAATTCATTGTCTAATTCAATGTGGCGGAGAACAGCTTCGGCGACATACTCGCGCCTTGTCGAGCCCCTTTTCCTATGGATATGGGTGAAGGGTGGTAACACGGGACCACTTCTTGACCGAGGAGTGCTGATAGAATTGCATTCACTCCAACACCGTAAAACGATATTCCTAGTCGATAAAGGTTATAAAAAGGGGGAGATGATAATTTTAACTTATTATTTACGACCTACTCTCCTTTAATTGTAGGGTATATTGCGAAATATAACTAAACTGATGCTGAGATATCACGACAGTCCCACTCGTAACACCACCACGGCTCTGAGGAAGATGAAATCGCCGAAACATTAGCCATCAACCAACAACACCAACAACAGCGACAACGACAACGAAGACCTATACCAACCTCGCATCAGCTAAAGAAGATGCTGAGATATCTGCAAAACTCCAGACCGCAGCTGTCTGCAGTGGGGAACAAACGCGCTATCACCTTTCCCGGGAGCTAACGCATTCACCAACACACCATGTGTGTTCCAAAGTTGTCGATATTCGCAAAAAGATAAACTTCGTGAACAGCTTGTAGAGTACATTCAACAAGCATATTTGGCATTTGATACGAAGATTCTTCCAGAAAACCTTCTTGGGTAGGATGACCGCGTGCAATGTACTCCCGTGGTCTGAAATTTTCCCTTTTCGATGGTAAGTTTTCGCTTGGGATACGAGAATTACATGTAAATCGTGGCCACCAGGTTTAAAGAAATAGGCAGTGTTATCATCGTGTCCTGGAACTGTGCCACTCTTCATACTTTCTATCGCAACTTGAATTTCAGAGGAATGAATTCCAGGCGATTTTCACCAGCAGGGTTTAGGATCCGGGAGGGGTATCATGGCGTCTCAAGAGAATGTTTTGGAGTAATATGAGCACAGTCAGAAGTCAGAAGTCTCCACGGCGTGTCGTGGTCACACTCATTTTGTCTGTTTCCAATTACATCCTGTGTAACACGAGATTTTATCGCCTCTCGCCGGTTGCCTCATCGTATGACGTCGTAAACAGAACCGCCCCGTGAGCATGCTAATGAGGTTAGAGTTTGCCTGGCTTAGCCATTTTGGTTCACTGGAATCGCGAGATCAGCCTAGCTGAAGTCTTCTCAGGTTGTCGTCACCCCGTGCAGTCGCCGTGCTTGTGGATCAGACAAAGATTTGCCATTATGCGACAAGTTCAACACCAGGACGGTGGTGATTCTTGGTATTGATTTACTCTTAGCTAGGTTTCCAGATGGAAACGTCGAATTTGTTATTAGCTTGGGACACCTTGCTGGGGAATGAACACTCCGCTGTGAATCACAGCCCAGTCCAACACGCAGGAACACCTCCTAGCAATAATTAGGCGGTAAACCGATGGAAGGCACTATATACCATTATATAATGAACGAAAAACGTACCTTCGCTATTCTTGGGTTCTTCCTCCTCTTGCCTTTGAATGTTGGCACAGAATTCTTCTCAATTTTTTTGTTTACCTTCCTTCTGTCATCTGATAACAACAGTTCACTACTGCTTTCACCAACTGCCATGTCCACAGTTTCATCTTCCATTTTTTTCTCAGTGCAAACCTGAAAGTGAAACCACATATTTTATACAAGTCCATAAAAACCACGGGGAGGTTATTCCAACACTCTAATTTTAAGCATATAGTGAAACCAAATTCGAAAACCGAAAAAAATTGTGATAAGAGACCTCGCATTGTGCAATTTGGCAAATGCACAATGTATTGTCCGCGACCTGTTTTGTATTGCTTTCAGCAACAAATTGATTATTCTACAGCCAAAACATCAATGTAAACCCATGTGAAAGATATCTATTAACCTGACTGTTCCGTTTATTTTGCGGCTCCACTACTGCATTGTCAATACGTTCCCCATTTGAAGCTTTCTTGACCAACTTTTTCAAAGCTCCAGCGTTCTTATTCAAAAAGTCGTCAACATTCTTCATCATCTGTTAATATCAGATATATGAAACACCACGTTGAAAAAAAAGGAAGAAAACAATAAACGATTCCAACTTTAGCAAACTTTTCTATCTTTTCCAGTACAGGGTGAGAATCCACTGCCACATCTGTAACATTTCTTCTAGCCAATGAATCCGCCTTCAATCTCAAGAAAAACATCATATTCATAATATATCTAAAACATTTTTGAATGACGCTTACGCAAAAATAAACGACTTATACTAAAAAACTAATATATGACGAAGAACGTACGTTGTATAGACATCGAAGACAAGCATTAGTTGCTTACGAACATTAGACATTTGTGAAAGTTGTTTAATCAATGGAACAAGTGGTTCCACTACAACTTTCATTAAATCTCTCTAAAAAACCAATTTTAAGTGAAAAACAATTATTCACGGAGGAAAAGAATCAACAAACTCTTCGATTATATTCTTCAATAATCTCGACTGTGCGCTTGTTGAGCTTCTTCACCGTTGACAGTTTCCATTCTGGTTCAGTTTCTTTCACTACCTAAAAAAATGAAACATTCAGACATTTTCCTTCATCACATTTGAACAATATAATGTGAAATTGAAACAAAAACGTACAAAATTCAACTGAAGAGGGAAGGAGCTATAAAGAAACGCATATGTCTAGAGGTGGAACATCGCTGCATTAAATGTAACAGTAAAATGACCAAACTTCTGTCAGAGAAGCCACAATGGTAAGACGTTTACCGTTTGCAAAGTGTCAGCCTCGTGCGCTTTTTCAAAGAAATCAGCTACTCGAGCAACTGCCTTATCTAATGCGGCCTGTCTACTAGTAGCATCCTCTTCTTCTAGCTCTGCATCGTCTAGTTCTTCATCTCGCATGCCTCCCCAATCCTCGTCAATATACCTCAAATGAAGGATGTAAAAACGAGAAGGAAACCTAGTATGCTCAACCACAGTCAAACTTTTGGAATTCGAAAAAGAACATCTAGACTACTCACTCCGTACCGTAAAAGTTTTTCCTCTTCTGTCCCCATTCATTTCCAACAACACCTTCTGAAAGCAATGCACAACTTATTATCTTTCATACCTATAGAGAGTGAAAAAGAGGGATTGGAGTATAAAAAATCAAAAAAAAACTATTGGGGCAGGAAATGTAAACCATTCAAATATTTGAAAGAATAATTTCTAAGATAACTTTAGAAAAAAGAATAATGGAACACCTGACCAACGTACGTTGTTGTGGAGGTAACAAAAGAGATAATCAGAAGAAACAAAATTTGTAAGTGGTCATAATGTCAAGAAAAATTCTTCACGAAGAAAAAACAAACACATAGCCCATTAAATGTTAATTAAGCATTTCACACTCGTGATTTAAATACGCGCCCAAAGCGATTATTGAAAAATGGAAACAATCTCGAGACCTATAGAATTCGACGCATTTTACAAAATCTCCTTAAAAACTTCAGTTTTTCCATGTTAACACGCAGTATTTTTAAAACGGAGTAGATGGTAGGAGTTACAATGTCAAACAGTCAACAATAAGCTTTTCAACATGAACAACATAATTTCTCGTAGCAATCTATGTCAAATGGATGCGTGTAACGCAGCGGTCAGAGGGGCCCTGCAATACACACGGGATTGATCCTTGCGCCCTGGGTCCACCAAGTCCTCCATCCCCCGGGATCGCAAACTGGTACCAGATTTGTCAGGGAGGATAGCAGCACTGGCGCAATATATCGATAGGCTACTGCGAGTCGCTGTAAAAGCCAAATATGCATTCCATGACCTCCAACGATGCTTAATGAAGTCGAATGCATGACGCAACACTTAGGAGTAGTTCAACGCCGAAAGCATTATCCTCCTTTCTTTTATCTATGTCATTATCTAAACTCACCAATATATTTATTTGCACGGCTTTTTTTGTACAAATCGCCTAATGGATATGCCAGCGATTTGCTGCTCACCACCTACCAACCTATTCCTCAATCTCCATTGTCGACTATGTTGTCAACTCAATTGTATCGAAGTTACTGATTGGCAACGAGTAAGACATAGTAAGACCAGCCGAGGTGCGCATGCAAGGAGTACCGTATTCAATTTGTAAGCTGCTTATGCACTGGTCTAGTAAATAATATTAAAATAGAACTACAACAAATTTCGACAACAAACAGCTGGACGAAAATTTTGAAGTTGGATAGCATAAATACCTGACTCACTACCGCTATCGTCATCAAAATCAGAGTCAGACGATCCATCATCCTCCCATGAATCTCCTTCGACATTAAGCACTTCTTCCATTTGCTTCATCTGAAAACACAGCACCCTGTTAAAATATGAATGTCACCGAAAAAAAAAGAAAGAGAAAAGAAAACTGACCAAAACTTGAACGAATTACTTTTCTACAAAAAGTTATTCAAGTGGGGATGTACTTTCATATAGTGGAGCAAACTACAATGCAGACAAGTAATTTATCAAATTATCCAAGAACTGCTAACCACCAAGTAGTGGTAAAAGCAACTTAACAAAATCATACTTGCTGATTACCTGCCTTCTCATCTTTCATAGAGAAATAGCATGCTTGTGAGAAATATGTTTTCAAACAGCCACCAATATGTCAATACGAAGAGAACAGAAGGCGGAATCCTTGTGGTGTGGTAACATGGTGCAGTAAATAACTATTTCCAATGTCTGCGAATCAAAAACCCTCGGGATAGCAATAGAGGAAAAACAAAGTCTCAATCAACTTGCCCTTTATCTTCAACGAAGTAAGCACAGGTGTTAAGGGAGGTTAAAAGGAAGTCAATCTACAGCATTTGGTAAATGTGATTGAAATACAAGCGAACGCTCTACGTCGGTAACTTGTAACTGCTTGTATGACCGTCTGTGTAAATCGCAAAACTGTATCATTTGCCCTCAAGGTAGAAACCGAGATTGGATTACATTCATCACAGTGTCTCCTGCAAAGCATGTGCGGAGGAATGCGGTAAGAAAACGAGTATACTGCTTTGTGTCCGTATAAAAGAATGGCTTGATGGGCAACTTAAGCAAATTGTTTAACCACGCATTAATAGGACATAAAACATAACGAAGATTTTGAAAAAAAACCAGCATCAATGCCAGCAATCTAAAAAATCTGCGTGGAAAACTCTCGAAGTATATCGGACAAATTTGGAAATTCTAGTGATAAACAACAAGGTGGAATGCCTTGTGATCACGCGTAACATCGCCGCATATCTCAGCCTTTTCTGACCAGAGCTAGATACATTCCTCATTCATGTAAAACTCCGTGAAGCTTGTCTCCATCAATAACTGGAACGCTTACATAAGGATTAAAAAGGTGAGTGTATATAAAAAGCTGTTCACAGTGGCTTTTGCAACATAGGTGTTTAGTCACAATCTTAACTCTTTTATTTACTGCCTTTTTTCTTCTTAATGGCAGGTTATGTTGCGAAATATAACTCGTATGAAATGCTGAGATATTTGCAAAACTCCGGACCACAGGTGTATGCAGTGGAGAACGAACGCGCGCCGCTCCCCGGTAAGGACAATAGGTGTTTAGTTTCTTCGGCTGAGGTTAGAAAGTGTTCGGATGAGCAGACTAGGGATCAGACCGTTTCAAGCTTTGAAGAAGGCAGAGCCGCGAAAACAAGTGTTTGACAAAGCTTCGACTAACAACACCGTGTCCGTTGATGAAGAAAAAATTAATCTATTCAAGTTGTAAAACACCTTCCCATGCTGAAATCAGTCGGTTCGCCATGTGGACTATAGTAAAACGTGTCATTTAGTAGCAATAATACGTCTCTGAGTTTATAAAGTGAAGCTATTTCTATAATGCTGTTCTCAACTCCAAAATTTCTCTAATTATGAAAAAATTGTCGTCTGTTGTTGGGAAAAAAAATCAGCATTACCGTGTTCAAATCGCAGATGAGCTTTACTGACTAAAAAATTTGTTGATCAATGCCGAGATAAGTATGAAATCGGTCATTGGGAATTACTCCAGACAGAAAGATTATAGGATTTTGTACTATGTATTACATATTACACGTATAGTATACACGACAGGTAGTAAAATGATAGTGACCCCATTCGATCAGCACGAGGACCTCGTTTGACCCTGCTGCGGAACAGGAGTTAGCCATCTCTACGGTGATGGGATATTCATCACACACTTGTCTGGGACCAATCTACAAAACCTGGCGAGTGTCTGTGATCAAGATCTGAGAACGCTTTAGCACGCTTACACTAACACTCCGAGAAGGATCAACCAGCAACCAACGGCAGAATATAGTAACTATTCCTCAAATAATCCTAACCTTTTTATTTACTGTCCATTCTTTTTAACTGCAGGGTATTTTACGAAACATAACTATTATAATGCTTAGATATTTGCCAAACCCCGGACCGCAGGTGTCTGCGGTGGGGAACGAACGCGCTATTGTCCTTTCCGGGGAGTAACGCGTTCACCACCACACCATGCGGATCCTTTGTTTCACCTGTCTCTCAGCTAGTTCTATTCCTTAAATAATTCCTATTTTCTATATTGTCCTCCTACAAAAACTACAGGTGTATATGCAATGAAGTGTGGACATTACATTGAAAAATGCATGTATATATCCATATATGCACGTGCACATGTATATATACATGTATACATATGTATATATATGCGTATACATACGTGTGCTTGCGTAGTAACATTCTGTACAAAGCACCACGTATCCAGGTCACAGAGCATTGACTGTAACGAGTTGAACATAAAGTAGCATAAGATGAATGGCTAACTACGATAAGAATGGGTTTCTTTCCCAAGGATACTGATCCTGCGGAAATCTTTGATACGGGCAAAAATGCACTTTTTGGTAGTCGATGTGACAACTGTGAAAACATGACAGATCTATTCTGGTTACACTCTGTTCTTCTTAGGATAGTTCAAAACAGTTATAAAATTCATTGGCAGCGTTTAAAAACTGAGAAAATTAGATTCAATATCAACTGAAAATATCCACTAAAACAATCAAGCGCAGGGAAATCGCCTACCGCTTTTCTTTTATAATCATTTGCCGATAGTTTTCGGTCGTTAGCATGGAATAAGTCCACCTCGTCGTGCAAGTCTTCATTCTTGTCCTCAAATTCGATACGCTTAGACCTAAAAGAAACAGAGTTTCATTTCGTACGGGGAAGGAACCCAATGGTACAACCCGCCTTACTTCACATAACCACTGATTAAAAAGAGCTTTGGCTTTTGAACCACCATATTCTATTAGGTTAGAGAATCCAGTACAAAAAAAGTGAAATCGAATACAATATGGGAAAAAATGTATCGAATTCTTCTTGAATCATGGTTAACTTTAGCATAAGATCAATTCGTCAAATTTCACCAATAACACAACAGGCTATGATGGTACTACAGATATCAGTACTGTAGGTATCAATAGTTCTTTTACAGTATTCGTCTTTCATATCTGTTGTGCGGATCTCAGCACTCCGCGAATTCGATCTGCCTCCTCGCATCTATCGTCCGTCTTCAGTTTTTTTCTGTATAGGTTCGGTTGCTGCTTAGGGATTTTCCTTTCGCCATATTGCTGGGAGTTGGTCAAGTCGATTCTCCCTGTGATCCTAGGGTGGATGGACTAAAGCGTTCTCACTTAGACTGCATGAGTTTTTCAGACGAGTTAGGTACCAATTTTCCGACCCCAAAAGGATGCCAGGATTTGCGAGCCGAGTGCGAGATCGAACTAGCACCATACTCGTGATCAATAAAACCACTAAATATGTTATCCTACCCCTACATACTTATGTATAAAAAGGCCGCTGGAGCATGAACAAGGAGAGATTTAAGAAAGCTCAATGGTCCTCAATACAGTGGCAGAGAAGAAATGATGCACCAACCAAATAAAATTATTTGAAGGATCTTAAACTTCATTTTTCAGTTCACTACATCTTAGCGTAAAATATACCACTCCTGGTTCATCATCAAAGGGATCAAGAGTGTATCCAGCAGCGAATCCTGTTTCTTTAGGACCACTCAACTTCAAAAATATTACCTTCAAAACATTTGCAAAAGGTAAAGTAGACTATATTTATAAAGGAGGTGGTACGTTGTCGACTACGATGCGCACGTTATCCGGAAAGAACACTACCTGTGTTCTGTTCTGCTGCAAATCATTTACACAAATATACGAGACAAGTTACCATATTCCCTGTAGCACTAATATATTACATTACAACGCGTAGAGCAGTCGTAATACGCGCCCTGCAGTAAACATGGGACCGCTCCCACCACCAAACTCAAGAACCCTTCCATTTGTCCAGGGTAGATAAATTGCTACCATACCTGCCTAGGATAGATACAGCACTGGCTCGATATATCGCTAGACCACTGCGAGTCATTGTAAAGGCCAAACAGGCATTCAATCACCTCCAAACGATGTCTAATGAAGTTGAATGCATGGGCGTCCCTCAATGATTAAAAGCTTCATCACTTATCCGTGCTTTACCGTTGACGTTCGTGGGTATCCAAAATCTATTCACAGTAAGGAGTTCACGCTACATCACCACCACTCAAGCCGAGGTGTTCGACATTTCTCAGTACCAACTCAGTTATGACTGCCACGACCGACTTTCTATTAACCTCGGCATTGATCAAGTGATTTCCTTCGTATTTTTGTTGAGCAAACGCGAGGTGTTACTATTCTTTGTTCATGATTAAGCTGACGTTTCGGCGGATTTCGCCTTCTTCAGAGCCGCTTTCTATGAGGTTTCCACTAAGTACTTACTACTTCCTACTTAGTGGAAACCTCATAGAAAGCGGCTCTGAAGAAGGCGAAATCCGCCGAAACGTCAGCTTAATCGTGAACAAAGAATAGTAACACCTCGCGTTTGCTCAACAAAAATACGAAGGAAATCAGTTATGACTAAACCAATGCCAGCCCATTCGCCAAACCATAAGGGTAAAGAAACTCGCACTAAAAATGCGATGCTCTCTACCTTCATCGAGCGAGCAGAGACCAAAGATAACTGAAGCGCACAATAGTAACAATGGAGTGCTTCTTGGCCCCCGTTCAAATACATAACTGTTAACGGCATTGTAAGTGGTAAATGTAAAGCAGATTAGAAAAATACATATTTCTGTAGTCTAAAGTCTGAAATAGGGTCCCCTTAAAGCGTTAGTTAGTCATTGTAAAACTAGCGTTAAGAGAACGAGTTATCCAACGCCGGTTAAGTGTGGTCTTCATGAGTGGCATTTACTTCTTGCATAAGCAGAACAATATTCGGACAGTCCTATGGGAGAAAGTGTACGGTGTCGTAAGTGACGAGAGATTTATTGTGACGAAATTATCACTTCGCAAACCACACGTATATTTAACATTTAAAGAGCATATGTGGACATTGAAATAGAACACTTCCAAGGTCCGCAGACAGCAGTGCTTGCCTTCGAATCATCACAAATGTGTTGAGGTTCAGCCGATCAAAAAATTATTTCCGAGGAAGGATTGTTCTCCTCTAAATCATCAGTTTGAGATGCTTCCTAATACAGAAGGTCACACTCCCATCTTCTCTATGCATACAACTGCATAGGGAGGTGTAAAACTACCCATGATGAAAAGCGATACCTTAGAATTATGAGCCTAAACTTATTTTTCTAATAACAAGTTCACAAATGCCTCCGAATATTAGAGTATTTCAACAAAAACCAAAATATTTACATAGATGCTGTCACTTTTTATTCACTTCCTATTTTTTAATGGTTGGGTATTATGTCCACCGATCTCCCTCATATGAGGGATCTCGAGCCGGTTCCTCGCGAGGCTACGTTGCGCGCCCACAGGTGGCGGATAAGGGTTAATAGTGGGCCAAAAGCGACTTTTGCTTCTTTGAGACGCAGGTGGATCCAGATGGACTCCTTGTTTCTGCTGTGCTGATTTGGCACATACTTTCTGTATTTGCTAGGTGTACTCATGCATGTGTATGTGTGGGTGCGTTCTTGCCTATGCGGATTGTATTCTACGAGTCAATTCGGCCAAAAGTCTGCAATCAGGTGACTGGGAAGTATATGGGAGACGATTAGGAGTCGCCTCCAAGAAATAAGCTCCATGTCCACTCTGGGAGAACCTGGCAAGCAACCCATGAGTGTACCCACCCCCCACGTTCAGAGTCCAGCAGGCTATACGTGGGTATCAAAAATGCTAAACACAGCAAAAAAAAAGCGGCCTCATTCCTCTGACCACGAAAGAGCCCCCAATTTCGCAGCATTGGGTACGTAGAGTACGGAGAGGCTGCTAAAATCTCAGAGCCAATGAAAGCTGCCTGCATTTCAAAGAACCATGGTGATGATCTGCACCTACAATGCACGTACACTTGCATCCGAGTCCTCGATAGAGAACTTGCTCATGCAAACAAGAAGGATAAAGTGCGACGTCATCGGTGTGGCCAAGACGAGAAGACGCCAGCCTTTCAACGCCGTCTATGACACCGCAGAAAAACTGTTCCTCGGAACATGCGACAGTAGAGGAGTCGGCTGCGTTGGCGTTTTCGTCAACACGAGTTCGTCCATTAACGTGATTCATTCGAACAATTTGCAACCCAAATCGGACGTTTACGATTAAAAAAACGTGGATCAATTCGGGCTTTGACAATCTTCGTCGTTTACGCGGCGACATCAAACTATGAAGAAGAAGAAGACGAAGCGTTCTATATGAACTTGGAGAAGCTCTACAGAGAAGACCACACATTCTTCAAGGTCATCATTGAAGATTTCAACGCCAAGATTGGACCGAGAAGAACGTCACATTGGGACACACGGATTAGAATGGAACGAACAGGGTGAGCCGCTGTCTGAGTTTATCATGGTGACCAAGACAATCCATGGTAACTCGCAATTCCAGAAGCGCCACTCTCAGCGCCGGACGTGGGAGCCTTCCAATGGAGAGTACCACAACGAAATAGACCACATCATAGTAAACAGAATGCTTTGCCTAACAGATGTCGCTGTTGTTCCAAAATTCTACACGGGATCAGACCACCGTCTTCTTCGTGCAAGATTCTATTTCTCGCGGAAGGAAGAAGAAGCCGCTAAATTCAAAAACCGAAGTCCTAGAACCACCGCAAACTGGGACTTATTCAATTCATTAATCGGTTGTTGGGAAGATCCCGTTCCCGATAACTTGGGAAGATACCGCTCTCGATAACACCGACGAAGAATACGATCGGCTCATTCAACATCATCACGCTAGCGCTGTGAAAGCTGAGAATTCGAAAGTCACCAAGAGACGTCTATCTTCAGAAACACTCGAGCTGGAACGCCAGTGTGAAAGCACAAAGAGGATGGCTATGTTGTACCACCGATTCTACTTTCCTAAATCCGATATACTACTTCGTCGATGAAAAATTGAACAGCACCTGGTCCAGACAGGAGAAGACCAGAACACCTGAAGAACTTTCCCCCAGTCCTTGTAAACACACTGGCTCGGCTCTTTACACGTTACCTGTCTGAATGCAACGTCCCTACTCAGTGGAAGACCAGCAAGACCGTGTTATGGTTCAAGAACAGTGACTTAAATGATATCGGCAACTGTCACCCAATCTGCCTGCCGTCTGTCGTCTACAAACTATTCACTCAAGTCATCCTAGACAGGACTGACAGAACACTGGACGAAGGGCAACTATATGAGCAAACAGGGTTTCGAAAATGATTTAGTACGATGGACCACATCCACACGATAACAACAGCCCTGAAGTATCGCGAGAGCACAAAAGACTGCTCTGTCTCACTTCCATCGATTTAAAGAAGGCGTTTGATTCAATTGAGATAGGAGCAATCATAGAAGCCTTTGATAGTCAAGGATTTCCTACTCAATACACAAAGATTTTTCGTGGGTTGTACAAAAATTTAACAACCAAGATATCACCATTTCACAACGGCATTAACATTGACGTCAAAAGAGGGGTTAAGCAAGGCGATACCATCTCGCCAAAATTATTCACTGCCACCCTCGAGAACGTCATGCGAACATTGGAATGGGATAATATGGGAGTGAAAATCGATGGTCGGCAATCACACTACCTTCGCTTTAGTGATGACATCGTCCTTACAACACCAAACATTAGCCAAGCGGAACGAATGCTGGCCGACTTTGATAAAGATTAGTCTCCGACTAAATCTCACAAAAACGATGTTCATGAAGAACGAATTGATTTCGCATGCCCCATTCAAGCTCAACGGAACGAATATCTCGGAAGGTTCCAGTTAAGTCTATCTAGGTCGGGAAATCAATATGATGAACGACTTAACCCAAAGATGAGCAGAGGGAAACGAGGGGCCTAGGAAGTTTTCAAGAGCGTCGAGTATGTAGTGTAGAGGACAAAGAACACCCGAGTGCGTGCCCACCTCTTCATCTCAACAGTACTTCCTGCCCTAACGCATGCGTCAGAAACCCGGTCGGTGCCTAAGCAGGATGGAAGGTCTCTCAGCGTTATCGAACACGCAGTCGAAAGGACGATGCTAGGAGTATCCCGTTCCACACAAGTTAGGGATGGGATCCGAAGCTCCGATCTGCGTCAACGATCAAAAATTAAAGATGCCGTTCTGTACGCCAAACATTCGAAGACAAGGTGGACTGGACACGCGATGGGTATGAATGACAACCGATGGACAAGAGGCGTTAGTGACTGGATTCCTCGGGAAGTCAAAAGTACTGCAGGAAGACCACCAACCCGATGGTCAGAGTTCTTCACAAAGAGCCTTGAAGAAAGATATGATGCTCGACGAGTCCCTAGAGCGAGCAGAACCCACAGGGCTACTCTTGCGCGCGGCAGGGAAAAATGGAAAATTTACTAGCGCCCGCTCGAGTCATTCGACGATCAGCGGGACTACAGATAATACAGTTGATACAGGTGAGTATTATGTGAAATATAACCATAATGCTTACTGATAGCACCTGATGGTCAATAAAGCGGCTGCGAGAAAGGTGAAATTAATGACTCGCATGGTGTGGTGGTGAGCGCGTTAGCCTCCTGGAAGGGTAACAACGTGTTCGGTTTCCCACCGCAGACACCAGCAGTCCAGAGCTTGCATATACCTCAGCATCATTATAGTTACATACTTAGTGAAAATAATAGTTTGGAATATGGCTATATCGGTGCATTAGACCCAATCTATCGGTAATAAAAGAAGCAGTAAGCTTGTGCTTCATTAAAAAGATTTATGAATATATCTACAAAAAATACATTTATTACCAGTTATAAAACATAAGAATTTCAAAGCAAACAGAACAGAAAACTGCCATATAAGTATTAGCAAAGCAGCAAAGTGTTACAGAACACTAGGAGTTCTAAGACTCATCGATCTTTAGGCATGCGATTTTTTGTGAACCAACTACAAAAACGCACATATAAAAATGCACACTCTTAACAAAAAGAGAAGGGAAAAGAAGAACTTACACCATATGACTTTTCTTCCCGCCCATTTTGCCCATCGTAAGCTGAAAATTAATCATAATAACATATAAAACAGAAAAACGAGATTATACGGGGTTAACGAAAATCAGCGTTAGTTAAAAGTGAGCGAAGGTAAAGTAGTTGATTAAGTACAGTAGCTATTTATACTAAGTTAAAGAAGTCGAGAGGAAAAATGTTGATAAAGGTAACACGTTCCAAGTCAGAACCAAGTGAATGTCACGTAATTACAGATTGAAGAACTCTTGACTCACAGCGCAACTCCAAAAGTGGGACCTGCCCATAAGTACGGAAAAATGAGGTCCACTACGACTCACAGATTTCCACCCAATAATGACAAGATCATTAAGGTGACGAATAATAAGTGTTCGATTTCCAAATCTTTCGAAAATGTTCTTTAAATTTAACCTTGGTAGTACCAGTCAGTACCAACCTGGATTGCTAAGATAACACGAGGTTGATGAACATGATTATCCGACGTCTTTGTCTTTATCAGAGCCTCCCGGAAATCTTCGTTTGACAAGAAGACACAAGAAAGACGTGGGAGATGGATAACAGGAAGCACGAAAGTTATGGGAAAACAGCATACTTACTACCATTGAAAAAAAGACTACTATTCAAAATGCATACTTTGAATGGGAATAGCATAGCTATATGTTTCTCTCATACTCTGACCCTCCTCAGCAACAATTCAAGCGCTTCCATTTAATACTCGTTAGCCTATGGGACAACTGAAGTAGAACGATGAAGAGAAAAATTCATAAGCCTTTCAAAATATAACCCAGAACTAGCAACAGTCTTACTACCTATCCACCTAACTGCGTTTTACGATCAGTTCGCTATCGATTGATTCGTGCAGCTTCAAACACAAAAAAACCGTCAAGATCAATACTTAGACACTCCACACAACGATGCCTCAACAGGACGGTGATCCAAAGTAGAGTAACAACGGTGCCACGGTCAGGGGATGTCCCTTGAGAGCCATTATTTTGATAAGAGTTTCTTCGTCACTAAGCAGCATTTCCTTTACTAAAAAAAAGTGCAACGTGGTCTCGTTAGGCGCAACATTTATAAGCCCTCAAGTTGAACCATATCGGCGTCAATTGCCTGCCATGACTGGACAGTGTACACTGCTGGAAAAGCTAGAACCTTTCGCATAGGTTCTCTCTAACACGCTTTTCACGTCTAAAAGATTCCAGTTTCACCTTTACAAACAAAAGGCATGCCATCTGGAAATATGGCTAATTCGTCTTAATCTGTTTAGTGACTGAATCGGGAAGAAACATATGAAATCGCACGGAGATGAACGAAGAGAGCCCCTCCCGTTCGAATCCGAGTAGACCATCGGAACATTTGAAACTTCGTGGTAGAACAAGAGCGCCGTGTTTTTATGCTGGCTTCAGATCGCTGCGGGACCATCAGCGTTTCGCAAATGGCGCACGGCTATTGCGGTTGCTGTTTATTTCATTGCGGTTTGAGTTTAAGATCTAAAAGATATAAAAGTTAAATTTGTTCTGGTTGTTTTCTTCTGTTTCGATGTTCTCCAACATTTATCTTATAAGTGTGTCGTTTTCGTAAATGATGAGGTTATGGGCCACATGCGATTCTAGGCGAGTTTTCCTTAGTGAAAGACACTTTAAAAAAATGGACTTCAAAGAAGGCGATACTGCCGGAACATTGGCTTCTGTTACCTTGTTAGTGCTTTTGTATGAAAGTTGTCGCGATCGGTCAGAATCAAGATTTCTTAGGAAGAGAACGACACATAGGTGTATGTGTATGTGTATATGTATAACTGAAAACACCGACTCTATAAACCTCGGCATAGATAGTTGATATATTTATTTATATGGTCCTATAAACTAATCTTCTTTAGCTGATGCGAGGTTGGTAAAGGTCTTCGTTGTCGTTGTTGTTATTGTTCTGTTGTTCTTGTTGGTCGATGGCTGACGTTTCGGCGAGGCGAAATATAGTTCTATATAGCAGTTTGAATGAAAAAACAACATAAGGTCATCCATGTGGACTGTTCTTCAGCATATCCAAAAGCCTTAGTTAATTTCTTCCAAGGCCGGCTTTAATTTAATCTCTGTACGCATCAATACGTTATTGTAGTGTT